GCGGGGAGAGCCCCGCGCAGCCTCAACGCGACACGGGCCACGCCCGCACCGGGAGAGGGCGGCCCGACACAAACGCCGCCCGGATTGCGCGGCGGGACGGGCACCGAGGAACCTGGCTTGGGGGCGCCGGAGGGCAAGCTGGCGCCCGGGTTTTGGCATGTGGGGCGAGGCCCCGCGCGTGTGGCTCCGGCGGGCGATAAGCGCGCCCGCGATGGCGCGGGGCAACCGGGACCCGCCAAGAAGGCGTTGCGGGCGAGTAGAAGCATGTGAGGGGACACGGCGAGAGGGAGAAAGGGGCTGCGGAGCGCCGGAACACCGCCGCGGGGGGCGGGGGCGTTTTTTTTTTTGTCAAGGCCGCGCTTCGTGCGAGGTGCGGGCTCGGGGGCCGCTCTCCGCCGAGGAAACCTCAGCTGGTTTTTTCGCACGGTGGCGCTCGTTTTCGTCGCCCGCCGCTTTCGCTGCGGCGTGGCTGTCCGCGGCCTCGGGGGGGGGCGGGGCGCTGCCGCGTTTTTTAAAAAGGGGCCCCCACACCTGCGCCCTCCGGAAGAAACCCCGCGCGCTGCCATGCTAAACCCGCGCGAAACCGCACACACGGCACGCAAGGGGGCATGGGGACCGGCTTCTAGGGCTGCAGGTCTTGCCGGGTTTCCGCCGCGTGGTGGCGGCTCGCCCCGGCGCCCCCCGCCCCCCGCGCGGAAAAATTCCGGCGGCAGGGAAGCAAGGCGCCAAGAAACCACCAGGCCACACGCAAAAAAGAAGCGCCCAGAAGGGAAAAAAAAACGACCCCAGATTCCCTAAAACAGTTTTCGGCATGCAGCCCCGCGGTTTTGTTTTGTTCTGGCGCGCCCCCGCCCACTCTTTATTTGCAGTTTTAGCTGGGGCCCGCCTCTTAGCCTTTGGGGCTGCTTTTGCTCCTGCCACCTCTGCCGGGCGCGGCTGATGCGTTTCGCTCCGCTTAAAATCGTTTAGCGGGGTGCTTTATTTATTCAGAGGCCCTTTTCCCACGCGCGGCGCGCTTTGCCAAATTCTGCCGCTTTTGTTTGCTCCAACTCATTTTTTCTTTCCCAAAACCCAAGTAAAATGGGCCGGCCCTCGCTTTTGCTCTTCAACCACGGCCATTCCGCGACACCATTTGGCGGCGCAGCATCCTTCAAAGAAGCCTCGGCTTCGCCGCCGTGCAAAGATGCCTGAGCTGAACGCGAAGCGTTCTTGCCGGATCCTTCCACTCCCCCAAGGTGCCGTACAGCAACGAGGCCGCAATATGCGTTTGCCGAAACGCATCACACCGCGCCGATGTTCCCGCTTGGAGCCGACACCAAACGAGACAAACTGTAAAACCCACAGCGCACCCGCAGCATCGCCGTCCGCGTCGTCGCCGGCTGTGGGCAACCAGGGTTTGGGTGACCGAGCACCCCGCAAAGGAACCGAGCCAGCGGCCAAACAACGCAACGCTCGGGCACCCCCAATCTCTCCAAGCCTAATTTGCGCTGCCAGGCCGCAAGAGACGCACAGCAGAATAAAATGTGCCCCGGCGCCTCCTCACTCAGGCCGCGGCGAAACCACGGCTTGTTTCTCCACCTTGCACCCCCTTGTCGTGAAATCCGTCGGCATCAATGTCTACCGTTCGCCCAGCGGCACGGAAAGAGAAGCGGTGCGGATGCCGCGCCTCTCGCCAAGGAACCCTTCAGAGAAGTTCCCTCAGCCTCTCCGAGTCAACAAAAATTAGTTCGACAGGGCGCTGGCACCGGGCGCGGTGAAACTGGCCCGAACAAAATTTGCACCGTGCGCCGCACCCACGCGCTTCCGGAGTGCATCGCATGAAGCACCGACCCCCCGTGGGGGGCGCAGGTGACGCGTGCGCCCGTATTCCCCTTCCCCCTTCCTCCTTCCCCTGCAAGCGAAATATTCGCCTTCCAGCGGCACAGCGGCTGCTGGGGGGGCGCGCCCCTACCTTCCGGGGCACCCACCGCGGCACGTGCTGCTTCCCGCACCCGGGGCACGCCGCCGCCCCGCCCTCCCTCTACCCGGCACCGCCCTGCCACTGGGGCGCAGGTCTGGCCGCGCCCCCGGATGCCCGAAACGCCGGCTGCTAAATAAGCGGCCCGAGAGCAGAGTAACCGCTCGGGCAGCACCCGCCGCCCCCACATCACGCACAGTCCACCCAGCACGCAATGCACCCGCGGGCAATAGGAACATTTAATACGCTCTGCATCCCAAACTGCACCGAAAGTAAAAAACCGCTGCAGTCGCTGTGGAGGCGAAGGGCCGGGCAAAGAACGGCCAGAGTGCTCCTCCTCACGACCGTGCGCGGGCACCGCAGGCGAACGCATCGCCCAGCGCGCAGGTGCCTCGGCGCAGGTGGTGCCGCGTTCTGCCACGCTTTCCAAACCTCCGGCACCTGAGGCCGGGGGCGCCCTCATTGACTCGCTCCCGCAACGGCGGCCTTGGCGTTGCCGGTGGCACTGGGGTTTTTGTGCGGGGTGCGTCCAGAGCTCCCCAGGCTCCGCCCAGTGCTGGGGAGCCGCCGGATCGCACCTTCCGCCGACGAGTGCCCGCGATGCGTTTTTCCATCAGTCGCCGCAAAGCCGCACCGCAGGCATCGCCGCAAGTGTGCCTACGTGTCGCTCAAACGTTCTACCCGAGCAGCTCCTTAGCGAGGCGGAAGCTGCACCCCTCCCAGCCGATGCCGCACCGCCTGCAACTAAACGCGGGCACGCCGTTGCTCGCGGAAGCCTTCGTCCGCCAGTGGGGTCACCCCTGCGCGCCCTCTCCGAGAGCCGGCTATTCACTACGAAAAGACCGACGGTGCACC